CAGATCTGGGTTGTGGCCACGCCCTTCTAAGAGATGTGAGAGCCTACATATGGGATCCCTTTTCACTCTTCAGATCCTCAGCATTTATTCCGTCAGCCTAGGAAGACAGAAGCAGGTGCCCCATGCCGAACACCAACCCGATGCTGCTGACTGGGCTTCCTGCCAATGGTACCCGGTTCTACCCAGTCAGGGAGCTTTACCTCCACAGGGAGGGACACCCATACAGCTTCTAGGATACATCCCTCAAAGACTGCAACAGGTATCAACAGAAGGGGAGCCAGGCAGCCACAGGCATGGCTGTGGAAGCCTCTGAAAGGAAAGCAGTCAGAAACTAAAGGTGAGGCAGGATGTTGACAAAAGAAAGGTCTTTTTATTTTTGTTTTTGTTTTATTTACTTATTTACTTATTTTTGTTTTGTTTGTTTCTGATTGTTGTTGTTGTTGTTATTGAGACAGGTTCTCCTTGTAGCCCCAGCTGCTCTGGGACTTGCTATATAGACCATGCTGGCCTCTAGCCTCTACCTCAGGAATGCTGGAAGTAATGGATGTGCCACCATGCTCCCCTCAAAGTTTTTCAAAAAGTGATTAAGAGAGATTCCTTTTGCTTGCTGTTGCTGAAGGCATAGCTATCTCTTCCTCAGGCTATGAAATCTCTAAACAAGCAATAGACAAATACAAATGGCATAAATTCTCAGTTACTTCCTGAGGAAGAGGAACTTTGCATTCGTGTGCACAATGAGAGAGAAAGTAAAGATGGAAGTTATTTGTGGATGCTATTTCACTCTCCTTATCCAAAAAGCTACAAATAGAAGGGTGGAGATAGGTGAGACTTGAACCCATGAAAGCATGTTTTAACTTAAAAGGTGGAGACAAGGTACTAATGGGGGATAAATGGGGAATTTAAAACTTTGTTTTGGTCTTTTTGAGACAGGGTCTCCCTGTAGCCCCAGCTGTCCTGGAACTCACTATGTAGACCATGCTGGCCTTGAACTCACAGAGTTCCACCTGCCTCTGCCTCCCGAGTGCTGGATTAAGTGCACTACCACACTGGGCAAATTTAACTTTTTAAGTTTTACTTTGGCAAGGCTAAATTTTGAACAGAAATTTTTTCGCACTTTAAGGAAAACAGATTTTAAAAGGGCTTTATAAAGCAAGAAATGAAAACATTGTGTGCAAAATATGCTAATGCATGTGATTATGGTAATCAGGACACCTTCAGATCAATGCATTGTATACCATGCACATCTATTCAGTCTGTACTAGAGGAGTAAGTACTTTAAAACCAAAATAAATAAGTGGAAGGAGATGTCAGTGTGTACTGAAAAAAAAATGCTAATTTTCCTGAAAGTATTTTAAAATATCACCCCTAGACCAAAACAAAAATGTGGTGAAGTTTGTGCTAAGGCAATAAGGTCAACATGGCAAAAATGCATTTGGTCTGGAACGGGCTCTGCTCTGTTCCTTGGGAGACTCCGGATGCTGTTGGCTGCCCTCCCATCTGCTGACTAGAATGTGAGCAGCCTGCAGAGATGCTGACAGAGGTCACTTCCCCACTACCGCATGGGCTGTGCTTCCTCAGAGTTCCTGAGCATTAGAGATGAGACAGACCCCTAAAAACCATTAAAGAAAAATCTCAACCAATTCCGAAATCATCTGATGAAAAATTCAGCTTCTGTTTTAAACTCCACTTTTTAAGAAAGTTCCAGTTTTCCCTTTTTTGGAGATAGTTCATGGGTTTGACCACGTGTGAAAAATTTTTTCTTGACAAAGCTGGCAACAGGGAGGGCAAAGTAACTCTAAAACTCACTTGTATCCCAACTGCAGCTTATCTGTGGGCCAGTCCCTCTTTGCCCTTTCAAAGTTTACATTATACTAATTTTAATTGATGTGTTAAAACATAAAAATTGCATGTATTTTTGGACTACTGTGTGATGTTTCTACCCATGAATATAGACAGGCTAAACATACACATCTTCCAATTCTTGATGGTAAAAGTGTCTCTGTTTTTTTCAAGGGTTAGAGGAACACTAGGGTCTCATTGTAACCTAATCTAGCCTCAAACTTACAATGATTCTCTTGGATCAGCTTCCCAGGTGCTGAGATCACTGGTGTGAGCCACTATACCCAACTAAAAGTGTCTCTTTTTAATCGGTTATGTTGTAGTGCTAATAATCTGTCTTCCACTTATTTTGAGGGGCAACTGTGGCAAAAAAAAAAAAAACAGCCGTCCCCAATCCACCTCTGACTTTGTCCCTGCATGGTCTAAATGAGGAGCAGAGCATTGCATTGTTCAAAGGGAATTGCAGGGTGTCTGCTGAGTTTCAGGATAATTTGTAGCTGATGATTACATGAGGAAGTCTAGAGGGATAAGACAACTAAAAACTGTTCTCATGTCTCAACCAATCCAGCTGGGGTTCAGATCATTGTAAACAATGTCCTTTTTGAGCATCTTCCCTGAATAACAGACCCAAATTGCATTTCTAAACTTCAAAAGAAAGGTTTCGGAGTTGCTAAAACAATGTAACTGGCATGCAACTGAATCCAGGAAGGGGTAAAGGCTATCTTCTAAAATTCCAGGGCTAAAAACTTAGTGCCTAAGAAGGAGAAGCACGGCTGATGGAGGCGCCAGACTCAAGTACACATTTTAAGATGCTTTGAGGGGTATTATTACCTCACAGTAGAAGTCATTTAGCAGGAAAAATACCTTAATTGGTAATGTAGGAAAGGAATATTTTTGTTCCTGTAAGCTAAGTCATCCGATGCTTTCTGTTTATAGATTTCTGGGATTTATAACTAAGTTTTTTTCTCTTTTTTCTTCTTAGAAGTGGTGAGGATTCACAAGCTGGAATGTTAGGTCCTGTCTTGGCTGCTTCCTGTCCACATGGACCCCATAAGCACTTGGTCTGGGAATAATAGTTGTTGTTAATTTTGACATCGTTTGGATCCCCTTTGATTAAAGAAGAATGTTCCACTTGGAAGTATTTGAAGTCTTTTTAGTCACATTTTCTCTGAGCAAGTGTTGGCTTAACATAAAGTCATCCAGTAGCTCTAACACTTCTAATCAAGGAAGTCAAACACCTAAGAGCAATCCATTCCCTTGCATTCTAAACACAATATCTGGATTTCTGCTTTCTGCCCAGGTATCTGGAGCCCAGAGGGGCAAAAACCTAGAGGAAACTGGGCAGTGTGTCTGAGTTCTCCCACTGGGCAGTAAGGACTGGTGGTCAGAGTCTCAACGGTATGTCCAGGGGACTGCAGACCAGAGAAAACACAAGGAGATTTCCTACAAATATCACCACGTGAAGAACTCATTTAAATTTGCTACACTTCAAAATAGCTAGAAGAAAAGATTTTGAATGCTCCCACTACCATCAAATTCTAAATGTTTCAGGCAATGCGTTTCCTGTAATGTTACAATATGTATATATCAACATAAAGCATACAATGCCATAAATATGTCAATTAGAAATAATTTACAGATAACAATTATTTTAAAATTTATTTTGTTAATACTCATAAAACATAGTAAATCAATATAAGTATAAAAAGAGGATTATTCATTTGACAAAACTTCTCTCTTGCTGTTCCTGGTGTTTTAGCATATAGCTGATAATAAGGGCTATGGAGTTAGTTGCTAGTGAATTAAGGGAGGACTGGATGAACAAATGAATGAGAGCCTCTGCCCCACCCATGCCTGCAGTTGCTGGCACCTTCCTTCCTACTCTGTTGTCTGGTACACCCGCCTGACCTCTGTTCACCCATCTGTTGAGTTCTTAATGTGCACAAGATAGAGTGAGTATTCAGCAAAGCCAAGCCATGCTTTTTCCATTCAGCAACACAGAGGTTTGTTAACCTCACTGCAAACAGTGAGCACTCCGGTTGTTCCCTAGGGAACAGAGGTTTATAATGCAAGAGTACAAGAAAGTTCAGAACTTGGGATGAGGAGTTTGACTGAGAATCCAGTGCACACTAACAAGCAGACTGTGCAGGAGACAAGGGAACAGGTCCCACTCTCCCTGTGGCTGGGACTGGGAGCTGCAGGCATCCCATCATCGCCATTTATTTTCTAATACCAACACGTTTTCACTTACCATGAACTCTAGAATCTTTTTTAAAAAATCAGTTTTATTTATGTATGGTACATCTGTGTAAGTGTATGCCACATGTGTGCAGGTACCTACAGAGGCCAGAATAGGGTGTTGGGTCCCCTGGAACTGGACTTACAGGTAGCTGGTGAACTGCCAGGAACCAAACTCAAGTCCTCTATAAGAGCAGCAAGCACTCTTAACCACTAAGCCATCTTTCCAGCCCTTAAAAAAGAGTCTAAATTTCTTAAATGAAATTTTATAGGGTCATTATGCTTATTAATGTAACCACACTTAATTCATGTAAGACTATAACAAAATGGTAATTTGGTTTTTATTAATAGCATCCTGAGGTCTTTGTGGTTGGAATGTCATATCTGTAACTTACTGTCAAAGAAATGATGGGTGGCAGAAAAAACAGGAATAAAGCAACTGAGGCAAAATGTAATTGGTAAATCTAGGTTAAAAGTAGCCAGATATTTATGGCACTGTTGTATCAATGTTTCTGTAAGTTTGTCAGCTTTCAAAGTACAGAAACAAAAAAATGAAAATGTTGCCAGGGGTGGGGAGCAGAATACAGTGCTATTGATTGTGTTGGGGAAGGCAGGGTCTTTGTTATCGCTAACTGTCTTCTGGAAAGGTGAGGAGAGGAAGACCAAGCCCTGCCTTCTGTACTCCCTAAGTGTTTAGTGAAGGCTAGCCATGGTAAGATGTAAAGGGCCTTGCAAGCCAAGGAACTCTGGGCACAGGAGATTATGGATGGATTCTTGAGGCAGCACCAAGTCATCTCTAGGCCACCTTGCCACGCCTCCCAACTGTCCAGACCCCAGCCAATCAAAGTGGGCACAGCCACCTCACTGTTACATATGCATGACCCTGGCTGGCCTCCTGGCCTCTTCAGTGCTTCCAGCACCAGATGCTGGCAGGCTGTGCTCCCGCTCCTGAGGAAGGGAGGGCAGAGCAACTCTGCAGGTCCCATTCAGAAAGCTCATTTGGAACAGACCTCTGCCTGCACACATCCCAGCTACCCAGCTCCCTGGCTGTCCCCAGGGAACACTGGCAATCAGCCAGCCCCCATGAAACCCTCAAAGGCATCCCAGCGTTACAGAAGCATCCGGAGAAATACAAACCAGCACTACCTCTACCAGGACTCCCTGCTGCTTGGGTGAGTGAGTCCCTTTAACAGCTGGGCAGAGGGGCAGGTGTCTGAGGAAGCCAGACATGGGTCATCTTTACCTGGGGATGAAAGTCATTGTCCTACTGGATTCTTCAGGGAAAAAATGCAGAAACTTACTCATCTGGGTTCTTGTGCAACTGGGAACCCATGCATGCTCAGAGAGCGAGGTGCTGCCAGCTTCTGGTTCTTGACCAGAACATTGGGCTCCAAAGCCTGTAACCCACGCTTGCCTTTTGATGGCCAACTCCACACATGGGCTTTAGCCACTTGCCTTTTTTTTCTTCAATTACTAGTTTCAGGAGAGAGCAAATGAGGCATCTTTCTCCACAGATAAATCAGGAGTCTGCTGTGAAAGGCTTCTGACTAGTTAGACGTGGACTATGATGAGATTTGAACGTGTTCAGTGTTTATAAAGAATTTGGGGGGGGGTCTTTTTGAGACAGGGTTTCCCTGTAGCTCTGGCTGGCCTGGGTTCACTATGGAGACCAGACTGGCCTCGAACTCATAGAGATCTGCCTGCCTTATACTGAAACATCTACTTGGGAGGAAATTCTCCTCTGAGGAAGTAAAAGACATCTGAATTAGAATACAACAAAGGAAATATTTTCTTCTACAATAACCATAGAAAATTCGTCTTCTCCTTTAAAAGTTCCATAGGATTACATATTATTACTAGGGAGAAAAAGCCTGTTACCTGCCAAATTTGTTCTATGGAGTAACTATGGCCATGAATGCATTCACTTGTTTTTTGTTTGCAAAACCTGCTGCCTGCCTCTGCCTCTCTTGTCTCAGGTGAGAATGAACTCAAGTGGATGGGCAGAGAGGCATCTCTGGTTGACATAGGCTTGTGTTTATTTCTTTTACCTTCAGAGTAGGAAAAGGAGTTCTGCCTCTGACTTTAGATGATCATCTCAGGAGCCTGTAAGAGATCATGTTCTCTATCAGAACTGCTGCTACTTGTGCATAGAATCAAACATGAGCCCTTCCATTCTCCCCTCCTTGCCCTCCTTTCCCTCCTTCCCCCCCTTTTGTGTCTTGCCCTTAGAAACCATTCTCTCTCACTGACCACTGAAGTAACATAATCCCACAAATGTTTTTCTATGGACCACTGACACTACCAAATTCTCTCAGTCCATAGATCCTTAAATACACATGTGGATGTATGTGCATGCATGTACACACATGTGCACACACACACACACATCATACAGATGACCCTAGGGCAGTGAGATGCAGAAATTTCCTAGGAAAAAATATTCTTTGCTGGAAGCAATTGTACTAATCAGATTTCCTCTGTCATGTCCTATCCATTCAGTAACTCAGATGACAGCTTTAATGCTGATGAAACAGGGGACAGCAATGATCCGGAACAAATCTTCCAGAATATACAGTTCCAGAAAGATCTCATGGCAAATATTCGCTGCAGACCCTGGACCATGGGACAAAAGCTGCGGGCACTGAGGTAAGGGTCTCAACAGCAATCAATGATCATAATGAATATTTTTTTCAATAATCCACCTGCCCTGCCCACCAGAAGCCAGGATGAAGACCCACAAACAAACTGTGACTCCCTTGCATCTGACTCACAAAGATGCCTGAGGGGACCAAGTGGTCCATATAGTTACTGTGTGTATGACTCAGTATGTGTGTGTGCATGTGGTATACACGTGTATCTATGTTGGTAGAAATTTTGGGGTATTCTCATTTCTTTTCAAACACTAGGTTTTCACATTGTCTCAAAACTCACAGGAGACAGGAGTGAGAACCAGAATCAAAAAAGACATCCACCTTACTCCTTGCTCTTATCTCCCCAGGGAGGAAATGTCTACAGGAGGCCAGGTTATTGGAATATTCTGAGGCATATTGGAGAATCTGTCTCTGTCATAGTTAAGTGCTAAGGATTTGAAGACAGATTGCCTGGATTCAAATATTACCTAAACTGATCTCTAGCTGTTTGATAAAGGGCAATTTTCCTCATTTCTATAAATACCAGTTTCTCTCTTTAAAGCTGAAGTGAAGATGGAGAACGACCTGTACCTCTTGCAACAGTGTTTACGAGAATGTCAACTGCTAAGTGCTCAGTGCACTGTTGAAAACAGCCTGTGGTTTCTCTCAGAAAGACAGAAACAAAATATGCCTCTCTCTCTCTCTCTCTCTCTCTCTCTCTCTCTCTCTCTCTGTGTGTGTGTGTGTGTGTGTGTGTGTGGGTATTGGGGGTGGAATCCAAGGCTTCACACACAGTAGTCCGTGCTTCTTCACTGAACTACATCCCGGGCCTCAAGAACTTTCAATATTCTCTCAGCTTGATTCTTTTTTTTTTAGCTTGAGTCTTTTGTGTCCTCAAGTTTGAAGCTACTGAGAGCAGCCTGTTGAAGGTCACACGTGCTAAGTACTGTGAGTGTTAGCTTTGTATCTGGTCTATAATACTAACTCTGAGGGGTGATTGCTACAAATCCCAGAAGGTGGTTGGTGGCATGGTTTTCAGGACCCGAGTCACTGAACTACCGTGAACCTTGTGTGTACTTTCCTGAGAAAGTACCTGCTTGTCAGACATCCACTGTGTGCCCAGAACTACTGTCACATATGGCTCTTCAGAGCTGTTTTCTAGATGCCAATCAGGCATTCCTTTCTCTTTGTACCTTCCTTCCATCAAATGTTCTTCTCTCAGATTTCTGTCCCAGGTGCTGTTCTAGTCTAACTAGCCTGACCCTCAGGTGGTTGTGGCAGAGCTAAAGCCACCCATGATTTTCACCTCGGAAGGCTGCAATGGATTCTCCATGCATGTTGCTTCCAGCCCTCAATTCCATTCTTTGAAACCAGGTGGCACTATGTCCACTTGTCAGGTATGAAGACTGATGACAAAGGTTAAGAGAACAGCAGTCTGAGCAACACACAGCTTCCACGTGCTGGAGCTTAGCTTTGAAGCTAGGCACTCAGACCCCAGTCCAGAGTCACTTGTGTTAAAACAGATTTTACTGACGAATGTAGAGTAATTAATTTAAGACTAAACAAGCATAAGTTCTATCAAAACTTTCAAAACCCATTTAGAAATGACAATTATTATCTGAATAACAGGAAGTTAAACCTCTATGTTTGTGTGTGTGTGTGTGTGTATGTGTGTGTGTGAGCTTGTGGTGGCTGGCAGTTGACAATAGGCATCTTCTTCTATTGATCTCCACCTTGTTCTTTGAAATAGACACCCTCACAGAACCTGGAACTTGCTATTTCAGTGAGGCTACCTGGCCAGCAAGTAGTCAGTATCTGCCTGTCCTTTCCCCCCTGCCAGTGCTGTGGTTAGAGACGTGTGCAGCCATGCCCAGTTTTTACCTGGGTGCTGGGGATCTGACCTTAGGTTCTCATGCTTATGCAGTAAACACTTTACTCCCTGACCATGTCCCCAGCCCAAAGTTAAGTCTTTTTAATATTGAGAGCAGAACAAAGCAAATGTGCATTGTACTGTCAGGGGATTGCAGGAACAAAGAGGAAACCAAGTGTCTGGAAGAACCTAGTATTGTAGCTTGGCTGCCTGATTCACCAAAGCTCTGAGATAGCAGTCAGGGGCCTCAACTCTTGCTGACAGTAAGGCTACGCTGTCATCCCCTGTGACACACACCTCTTGCCCTTTACCTTGAGAAGTTACTGGAGCACTGCTTCACTAATTGGACCCACTGGTGCTTATCTTGGTGTCTGTGGAGGTTGCAGAAAGCACTGAACCCTGACTGCTTGGGAATCAGGGAGCATCACCTGAGTCTCAGGAAAGCCACCAGTCTTTGAGGACACAGTGCACACTTGTTTCCTCTGTGGCAGGGCCTGTGTTAGGTGTATCCCTCCCTCCCTCTCTCTGTCACCCTCCACCGTAGCCCTGCTAGAGAGCTCTTCCAGTTCAGCGACTCTTTTATGCATATCTGTATTCCACTGTCCTTGACCTAAACTAAGAGTGCTGAAAATACATTCAGGGAAAAAATATATAAATAAGTACATGTGGGCTGGAGAGATGGCTCAGCAGTTAAGAGCACTGGGTGTTCTTGCAGAGGACCAGGATTTGATTCCCAGAACCCACATGACAAATGACAACTGCCCTTAACTCCAGTTCTAGGCGATCTGATGCTCTCTTCTGACCACTGCAGGCATTGCTGACACGGATGCAATGCTTTAAGAAACCCAGTAATAACTAACTGGCATGAATTTGTCACTTCTGATTAGTTCATCTGTGTAAATGTTAAAAGCTTTAAAATTTGTCTATTTATTTTTTATGGTATGAGTGTCTGTGTTGAGCTCATGTGTATCATGCACATTCAGATGCCCTTGAAGGCCAGAAGAGGGTGTCATGTCCCCTGGAACTGGTTGTGAGCTGCCCAATATGGGCACCAGGATCTAAATCCAGGTCTTCTGAATGAGCAGTAAGTGCTCTTAACTGCTGAGCTATATCTCCAGCCCCTTAAACAGTTTTAAAGGAGTTTTCTGGTTAGCAAAAGTCAGAAAGTAACTATCATTTTAACTCTTGTTTCAGTTGGTGTTCTTTTCCTACTGTGTCTTCACATACTTGAAACACTGTGGATGAGATAAAGTTGTGTTCACCAGTGTGTTTTTCTTCTCTCAGACGAGCAAAGCAGATTGTGCTGAAGTTTGAAGGGAGGCTGACCAGGACCCGAGGTTACCAAGCAGCAGGAGCAGAGGTAAAAAGGCACACGTGGGACATGAGCTCCCTCCCTGCAGTCTCTGGACTCCAGAGTAGGTATTGCTCAGTCATCGCATTAGGAGTATCCCCCATTAACAACTATAGAACAGGGAATAAGCCAGTGAGTCTGAGCTACCCCGAACCTGGACCTTTGTTCTGAGATTCATCACTTACCAGGCATAAAACACTGAGAAAAGGATACCTTTTTTTAAAATTTTTTCATTTAATAACCACATGATTAGAAGAAGCATTTTATTACAGCTTTAACATATTCAGTAACAATTTCCAGAGCATAGTTGCATCTCCTTCAAACATGGATGTAAATTTTTAGGTTCACAGTTAATACAATTATACGATATTGAACTCAGTATAAACCCTGTAAGACATAAAATTTAATGAGTTTTTAACCTTTAAAAAACTTCATTTCATTTTAAAATATACTGTTTCCTACAGAAAAACTCATTTTTAATGCTACTAATGTTTAGATGTTTGTACATGTGTCTCTAATCTCTCTGTATCTAATTATTATTAGTCACAGTCAGTTACACTCAGATCCTTGACACCTGAGTATGGATATAAAATTATCAGGTAGATTTCAATGGTAGTGTTTTTCACCTCTACTAATTAACATGAAGCAAATTTTTATGCTTCTTCCTCAAATATGTCTTTTTAAAAATTTGTTGATTTTTTGTGTGTACATCATACAGAATATCCCAAACAATCTTATTCATCTATATACCACTTCCCAAATGGCACACACCCATAGCCCTCCCCCCCAGCCCATATACTCTGTCATCCCTGTTACTGTCCACTGTGTTGTCCGTGCCCCCAGCCATTCCCCAGTGCTTGTCCATCTGCTGAATCTAGTAAGCCTATCTAGAGTTCCTTGTTTTAGAAGATCATCTCTTCCTCATCTAGCAGCAATCAGCTGCCAATATTCCTTTAGATAAGATTAGGGTCTGTTGTTCATTTTCCAAGTTCTATGCTGGGTTACTGTCTGGGAGTCTCAAAGGAAGGTATCTCCTGTCTGGCATTGTTTCTTGTTATATAGCCTTTAGCTATACACATGGACTCTTAAAAAATTATATTGATCCCTTTAATCTTTGGTTATACTTTCCTTTAAGACCATACAGTTGGCCCAGATAAGCCAATTTATTTTTACTCTTCAGGCCATTTGAGGATCTGTTCCTCGGGGGTCACATGGGCTTGGGAGGAGCCTATTGCTCCTTTCTTTTACCAGTTCCATCTATGTGAAGATAAGTCAAAGGTCCTGCTCGATCATGGCTGGCTTCTCTTGGAAGCATGGAGGAAATGTTTCCTCTGTGTTGACCCTCCTCTCTGTAGACTGCACACTGGTTCAAGTCCATTTGATGGGGTCTCCATGGCCTCCTTGATCAAGAGGACAGGTGACTCACTACAGTTACAGGACATTTGAGAGATGCTCATAGTTCCCTGGAACTTAGTCAACCTAGGAGGGCAAGGAGCAAACACTGTCCTTTATGTCCCTCTGACCAAATTAGCATAAGCCTCAAAGTATGGCTGTTAAACATCCAAGAAGGTAGTTCCACCAGTCTGATACTTTTAATTACCATGTGCTATGTAGATAAAGCTTGGGCAAAGACCAAATGTTCTTAGATAAACCTTACCTAGATATATATTATATTCCTTGAGCTAGTTGTATGTATAATTTGTCAGTAGGTTGTTTGATTAATATGGTTTCCTCTGATTTTTTTAAAACCAGCTAGGTATTATTTATCTTTCGCATTGTCTAACCCTTCCACCATGGTTTCCCATTTAAAGCACCCCCATTTTTCCCATTTCTCCCTTAACAATACCGTTCTCCTATGGTCCCACCTCTTTTGAGCTCCTTCTTTCCCTTTATCACCTAGCACCCTCCCTGACTTCCACCCATATGTCTAAGGTTCATTTGCTTTATTCCTGTATGTAGCTATATCACTGTAGCCCTCCCACTGGGAGTCAGGCATATTGTAACTCTCATAATTCGACGCCAAGGGCTGTGAGTATTGTTTGTCCTAAGCAGTTAGTTTAAAGCTGAACTTTGGGGCTGGAGAGATAGCTCCCTCTCAATGACTAAGAGTACTTACTACTCTGTAGAGGACCCAAGTTTGACTCCCCACAGTCATGTGAACTGCCTCTAACTTCAGCTCCAGGGTTCTCAATGCTTCTGGCCTCTGAGTACCACATACACATGCATATACCATACCTCCCCTCACACACACACACACATACTGAAAATAATAAAATTAAATGTATTTTTAAAGTTTCAGTATACCTTGAAATCACCTAGCGCTTCCTCATCCCCCAAATTAGTATCTTTTTAAAAAAATATTTTTATCTTAAATCACATTTCAGCCATTGCATAAATATATAATTTTAATTTCATAGTGATTATAGTATATAAAATTTTCATCTTGCTCCTTTTCCCACTTAAAACCATAAGTATATTTATATTGATCTATACTTTTTATGTTTACCATTTTACATGACCATTTAATATTCCACCAGGCATTTGTCTATTAACTTGGTTATTTGCTGATAGATTTTTAAGTTGCTTTCAGATTTTCCTCATTATCAACTCTACAGAAGTATCTTTATAATACACAGGTTCTCTGGTCTTTTTAAATTCACTTTTAGGTTAAATGCCAGAATTTCAATCCCTGTAGAAAAGACTATGATTTTTTTTTGATTCTTGGTAAATACTACAAATTATTTTCCAAAAGTCTTGATAATTTTTATCATCATATGAAAAAAATGAAATAATTAACTGCCCTCATAATATTTGCACAAATGTTGAATATTATATTTTAACTTTGTTACTTTAACAGAAAAAATTGGTATACTCACTGTCTTAGTTTGTTCTTCATTGCTGTGACAAAACACTCTGACCAATACCAACTTGGGGAGGAAAGGGTTTATTCAGCTTACATCTCCCAGGTCA